CAGTCCCCCTTTTTTTCCCTATTCCTGTCCTGGGATTTCAATCACATGTATGTTATCTCTCTGGATGGTAATCCACACAATACTTAGGACTTCTTCACTTCCTTTCATTTGTTTCTGCTTTTTTCCCTTTAGGTGATTAGTGTTGAGTCTTGTCTTCTCTCTCACTAATTCTGAGTTACATTTCTTTATTTGTATTCTTTTGGCACTCTTACATGTCAACATCTTCTGTTCCATTAGTGTTATTCTGGATTGCATTCTCATGTTTTTGAATGGCTTCTAGTATCCCATTGGTTGCATCCATTTTGTCTTGTGATGATTTTATTTCTTCTATCTCTTTGGTTGTAGCTTCAACTCTTTCTTCCCTCATTTGAAATTTCTTAAAATACTATTTCTCTGAATTTCACCTTGGAGTAGTTGTTCAGTTTTTCTGCCTCTGGGCTATTCATTGATTCTGTGGTCTGGTCTCTTTTCTCATGTGAAGTTTTATTTTCGTTTTGTTTTCTTTTGTAGAATTGGATGTTGTCTGCTGCTTCTGGAACAGTGTGGTAGGGTGGTTGTTGCATAGATTTTTCTTCTTTTTCTTCTTGGCATGTGTATGACAAATGTTGTGGTGTGTCCATGTAGATATCTGTTTGTTGTTCATGTAGTGTTGTTGTTGATAAAGAAATGAGGGTGGTGGTAGTTGTGGTCTGATGCTGGATAGCTGGTACACATGCTGCCTGTTGCTTTGTTGTTGTATGTGGGTACTCTAGTTCTATGTGATGTAAGGAAGGTGTTTAAGAGCACTTGCTGGTGAAGTTATCGGGTTATTGTCTTCTTTCTGTTGCCCTTTAGCAGAGGGAATCTTAGAAATTCTGCCCTGAATTTCCGGGACTGACTCTCTTTAGCTTTCTGTGCTTTAAGTCTGCCTGCCTCTAGATAACTCCCTGTGTTGGTAAGCCTTTTGAGGTATGGCTATAAAGGAGCACAGTTTAAAGTTTCTGGATTGACAGCTTCTATAGATGAACTCCACAGGAAAGGGACCTGGGAGCATACTCGTGGCAGCAGATGTGGCCTGAGGGTTTTAAAGTCAGTCTGTACCTGCTAATGTCCCATGAGATTGTGATCTGCGGCATAGTATCTTTCTCTATCTCTTTCCTCTCCAAATCCTAATTCTGACAAGAGGTACATGATAGATACTTGGGGAAGGTTGACTGTTGCAACTTGATGATGATGGCTCATGAAAGACTGAAAGCCTTGGATAATTTGAAGAGTAGAAGGGATTTATAACTTACAAATGTCTTCCTCTGGTGGATAAAGACCAAGTTTCTGTGCTAAACATAACAATGTTCATCATGAATTATACTTGACATTAAAAAACAAAAAAAAAATGCCTTTTCTTTGCCAATCTTTTCCTTCATAAAAGTCCTATTTCCAATCTGTTGTTATTAGGTATCATCCTGTCAACTATGGCTCAATGACCCTATAAACAAAAGACCTGACTGAACCTTGCTCTATCCTGTGCCATCCTCACCAGCTCTGATATACTTTAGCCCATTGTTACAGTCACTGTGTTGATCACTTTCACTGAGTATCATTCTCTATCTGACCCTCCACCTTTGGCACCATGTCTTTTTTCCAAGAACTGGTCTCTCCTGACCACTTTGCCAAAGTATGGGAGACAAAGTTTCATCTTGACTCTACGGACCACTCTGGTTGCCCTTAATCCAAGACAGACTTGTTTGTTCTTGTGGTAATCTTTGGAATACTCATTACTCTTCTCCAACATCATAATTCAAAGGTATCAATTCTTCCTCTATCACTTTATTCATTGACCAACTTTCACATGCACAAGAAGTAATTGAAAATATCATGGCTGAGTCAGGTTCACGCCAATCTTTGACATAATTGGTTTTAACAATTTGGAGAGGTCACTGACAATGTATTTTTGCCAGAACAGCATATCTTTTGATATGCTACCATGGGTGTTGATTGTGGATCCAAGTAAAAAGTAATCCTTGACAATTCCAGTCTTTTTTCCATGTATCATGATGTTGCCAATTAATCTTGTAGTGAGAATTTTTGTTTTGTTAGTGTTGAGATGTAAACCAAACTGAAGGATAATCTTTGATCTTCTGCAGCAAATGATTCAAGTCCTCTTCACTCTCAGCTAGCAAGGTTGTATTATTTGCAATAACACGGGGTGGGGGGTGATGAGTCTTTCTCTAATCTTGATGCCATATTCTTCTTCATATAGTTCAGTATCTCAAATAATTTGCTCCATATAGAGAATGACTAAGTATAGGGAAAGGATACAATCTTGACACACATCTTTCCTGATTTAAAACCATGCATTGCTTCCTTCTTCTGCTCAAATATCAGCTTTGTGGTCTACGTACAGATTTCACATGAGCCAATTAAATGTTCTGAGGTTACCATTTGTCTCAATGTTGTCCATAGTTTGTTACGATCCACCCAAACGCCTTTCACAGGCAATACAACATGAGCAAATTACAACAGAGCAGCAGCAGTCACAGCAGAGAACCAGAAACCTGACATGAGACAGAACTGACCTTGGAAATGCTAGCCCACAGAACCAGAGCCAACAGCCTTTTGTCCAAGTTTTTTGGAAGACTAGGGATCAGAGAAGAGGAGCATGCTAAGTGAGGAGGACTTGAAATACTTGCTGAAGGTGATCAAAGATACGGCACTCAATATGTATACCATCTCAACTTCAAGAAAACAAAAATTCTTACCTCTGGACTAATAGGCAACATCATGATAGATGGAAAAAGGAATGAAACGGTCAACAACTTCATCTTACTTGGATCCACAATCAACACCCTGGCACCAGCAGTCTCGAACTTAGGATATATATAGCACTGGGAAAGTCTGCAGTTAGGGACCTCTCTGTATTACTGAGAAATAATGATTTACGTTTAAGAATTAAGGTGTGTTTAACTCAGACCATGGTCTTTTCAATCACTTGCTATGCATTTGAGAGCTGGACAATGAATAAGGATGACAGCCTTTGAACTGTGGTGTTAGAAAAGAGCACTGAACATCCTATGGACTGCCAAAAGAGCAAACAAATATGTCTTGGAGGTAGTGTACGCAGAGTGCTCTTTGGAAGCAAAGATGATAAAGCTTTGCCTGACATGCTTCAAGCGTGTTGCTAGGAGCAACTATTGTTTGGAGAGGAACATGATGCTCAGAAAGGCAGAGAGTTGGGGGTGAAGGAGAGGAAGATCTTCAATCAGGTGGACTGACATAATGACTGCTGTAAAGGGCTCTAGTGTGTTAGGAAGTCTGAGGATATCACAGGATAGGACAAAGTTTAGATCTGTTGTTCACAGGGTTGCTATGGGTTGTACTCAACTTGATGGCACCTAATAAAAACAACAGAGCAGTAAGTTTGGTGTTGAAATTAATAGAGAGTGGTACAGAGGCATGGGGGACATGTCTGATCTCATGGAAATTGGTTTTGTGTTGTGGATGTTATTGACAGGGACAATTCCCCTTTGTGGAGCTGGTATAGGCCATCTCCCATAAGCCTCTTTTACAGCATCCCATCAGTTCCTGAAGCCTTATGGTTTGCCAATGCCTTCAGTATAGCTTAAACTTCTTCCCTCCCTACCAATGGTTCTAGATCATATGAAGAGGCTGCCCAAAATCCAGAAGAGAATGCCACCTGGCTGACACCTTGATTGTAATTTTATGAGACTGAGTAGAAAATACAGTTAAATCATACATGGATTCCTAACTGAAGAAAAGTGTAAATCAAGCTTCAAAGCTTGTGGTCATCTATCTGTAAGGAAGCAACGGGAAGCTGCCTCAGGGATTCACACTGTGGAGGTCCACAAGCATTAAAGGGGTTGTAAAGGAGCTTTGGTGGCTCCTACTAACCCCAAGGCATACAGTTAGAATCCACCAGCTGCTCTGAGGGAGAAAGATCTGCCTCCCAATCTCCTCCAGAGCAATTAACTGACTCTGAAAAATCTCCTAAAAAGTCAGCTATGATTTGGTTCGCACTCAGTGGTAAACAACAATAACAACAAGGAACCATTGGCTATTTTTGAGTGAAGATAGGCATGCTTCAGAAAGAGATTACAGGGGGAATGGAAACCTAGGAAACTCTGAAGAATGTTAAGGAAGGCTTTATTCTAGGAGAGGATTAGTGACTAAGACCTGGGTTAAACCCAGGCAACTTCTCTTCTATCCAATTAAAAAGAAAGAAAAAAGAAATGAGGGAGGGAGAGGGGAAAAGAAAATAGGAGGAAGCAAAGACCAAGTAATGACAGTCATATTTGAAAAAGCCTTACGATCCTCAGAGTCCCTGTTGCTAATTATAAATATTTACTCCTCCCAGAATTCCTGACCTCACAGAAAAACCTGCGTAAATAGCCCTGCTCCCTTACTGGAAAACCAGCCTGTTCGCGCACGCTCTACATTTTCTTGGCACAGGGTCAGGGCAGCAAGAAGGAACGGGATGATCTGCGAAGACTCACTTCCTGTTGGATCCTGGCAATTTCCCTCCCCGGCCTCCCATCATAAACCCTAAGACCCCTGAGCAAAGCCTCCTTCCCTGATTCCATCTGCAGGAGACAACGAAACCAAACAAACTCAGGAAGTGGCAAGAGGTTGGGAAGCGGAGGAAGTTCATGGCACAGAAGGAAGGAGGAAAGTGAATGCCCTGATGTTCAAGGCAGAGGGTGGGGGAGAGACAGAGATGAAGCTTGCTGCAGGACCACTGTGCGCCTCCTCTTTAAAATGTCCTGCTGGAGCTCTAAATCATAACTGGCACAAATAGTGGGGCAGGTCTCCTGGGACCATTCAAACGTTAACATTCATGATGATAAACAGCCCTAGAAAAGCTCTCTGTAAGCAAACTGGAACAAACAACCAATCTAAAGTTGTTGCTAAGGAAATAGTTGGGAGGGGGCCAAAGTCAGCCTAAGTAAGTGTCTAGAGAATTCTTTTTTTTCACTTTTAAAACCAGAGAGGACACGACCAGGACTTACCTGTAGATGACGCCATGTTGGTGGAGGAACATGAGGGCCGAGGTGACCTCCGCAGCATAGAACCGGGAGCGAGGCTCATCGAATTTTCGAGAGCGTTGAATCTGAAACATGAGGTCTCCACCGTTGACATATTCCATGACAAAAAAGAGGCGGTCCTGAAAGGAGATAGAAAATGCCACTCAGATCCCTGTCCATGCAAGCACGACTATTGTAAGCCTTAAGAGAGCTAGAATCTGAGGGACAAAAAGGCACACACACACAAAAAAATTAAATAAAAATTTTAAAAAAAGGTAGATCCTGGTAGTACATAAGTAAAAGGAAAAAATAAATTATATCAATGAGGCTGTAAAATGCTACACTAGAATCTTTACTTCTGAGCGAAATAGGAGTATAGAAGAAGAAAAAAATTGACAGAAAAGAGACCTACATCCTTGTCTGATTTCTGTCCCTGACTTGGTGTTGTCCAAGAAGGCCCCTTCCCATTCACAACCATAGATCCTAATCTCTGGAATCTGAGAAAATGACCTTAGATTGGAAAAACAAACCAAAAAAGACTTTGCAAAAGAAATGAAAATGTTTTAGAGGAAGGTTGGGGGAGAGGCGGAGTGGATGGTAGTGTAGTGTGTTAAGGATTGCTCTGCCAACCTAAACGTCAGAGGTTCAAATTCATCAGCTTGTAGAAGAAAAATGGGCAATTTCTTCCCATAAAGATTTACAGCCTTAAACCTGATTGAAGGTAGGAATTGACTCAAAGGCAGTGCTGTTGTTTTGGGGATGGTTGGTTTGTTATTTGGTTTTGTTTTGGTTTTCTCCTTCCCCAAGGGTGGTCCTTAAATATAATGACAAGTATCCAAATAAGAGGAAGTTTGAGGGAAGGAAATTTCACTGCATAAAAGAGGCCAAAGCAGTATGACTATAAAGAGACTGTTAGTGATTAGTCCACAAGTTCTAGTACCACTAGAAGCTGGAAAAGACAAAGAAGTGGTTCTCTCCCAGAGGGAACAGAGTCTTGCTGCACTGGAGTATGCCTTTCCAATGACAGGCCCAACCAGCTCATTTCTTTAACACTGCCTTATTCTCCCTGAGTGAAAGCACTGGTGGTTCAGGAGTAAGTGGAGTGTTTGCCTTCCATGGGGGTGACCTCGGCTCAATTCTTGGCTAATGTTCCTCAAGTCCAATCATCACTCATCTTCAGTGGAGGTTTGTGTGTTGTTATGACAACAGCATTTGGTGGAGTTTCCGGTCTAAGATGGACCAGAGGAAGACAGATAGACAATCTACTTCTGAAATTAAGCCAGTGAAAACCCTGTGGGTCAGTGTGGTCAGCTCTGCAGCAGTCGTGGGGCTAGTGCAGGACTAGCCTGAGCAGCATTATGTTCTCAGCACGCAGAGTTTCCATGAGTCAGTGCTCACTTGATAGCCACAAACAACTTTCTAGCTAAATGACACAATCAGAAACCAGCGCTGACACCATCATACTAAGTCTCCCACCTGGGACTTGTTTTTTAGCAAAAATGTATGATGTCTTTGGCTATGTTTTAAAAAATCCAAATCTCTGAAGAGAAATCACTCCTTTGGTTGCTTTTAATTCTATATAATTCTATAAAACTAGATGCATAAACCAGCTTTTAAAGATGCAGCTTAGGAGGGAGGAAGAAGCCTTCTCAACTCCCCTGCTTATTGACCAGGGGAAAGCAGGCAAGTGATTTCCTTTCTGTTTATTTTTCTTATCTGTAAAAATGAAGATGGTAACATGATTTGGCTTACAGTTTTTTGATGAGGATTAAATTATGCATTAAAATGCCTGTTTGGCTCATAAATGGAACTCTGTAAAGATAATGTACTAATATGATTAGTGGCAGAGTTGTAATAGTTATTTATTATCACCATTGGGCCTTTCTTTTTCTTGTCCTCTCAACATTCCTCCCTGGCTGCCACCTCCTCATTCAAAGACTTTTCCCCTTGGCTTCTAGTTCTTAGTTGTTTCTCTGTTGTTGTCAGATCCCCCACTCTCCCCGCCCCTTCCTCTTGCAAGCTTCTCCTCCCCTAGGCCAGTAAGTATCAGATCCCACATGGCTAGTTTAGGCCTCTCTTCTTCTTTTTCAGAGACATTGAATGATGTCATCTGCACACAGCATCTAACACACTTCTCTACACAGGTGACTCACACACATCTCCCTCCAACCAGAGCTTTCCTCCACACTCTAGTCTCCTTTACCCAACTGTGTTTCTGACATCTCTTCTGACATGCCCCAAAGGTACTTGAATCAAACATGTTCAAAACAGAATTCATAATCTTCCCCTAACAAATTGGTCCTTTTCCAGGGTTGCATGTCTTAGGGAAGAGATTCACCATCAGCCAATTATACATACCACAGACCTGGATGGCATTCCAAATCCCTCCTTCTCCCTCACCTCTCACATCCATCACCAAGTTGAACAGCTTTTACCTACTGTATATTTGCACCCTTATCTCTGTGCCTATACTACTGTTGTAGTAGGTGGTGCTGGGCTGCAATCAAAGGTCAGCTGTAAGGTAACCCACTAGCCACTCAGGAGGAGAAAGATGGGGCAGTGTGCTCCTATTAAGACTTGCAGTCTTGGAAACCCAGTGGAGGCAGTTTTACTCCTTTCCACACGGTCACCAAGGGTAAGAGTTGACTTGATGGCCTGAGTCTGGTTTAGGTTTGATCTTCTCCATCTCTGCTACCATCATTATTGCCACTGTGGCCCAGCCCACTATCATCTTTTGTCTAGGTTCTTTTAAATGCCTTTGTACCAGTCTTTATACCCCCTCCCATTTACTGAGTGGCCCCTCTCTTATTAAAAAGTAGATCTGATTGTTACATGCCTCTTTTCTTCCTCTTGATTAGCTGTTTCATTACTTTAAAAGGTTCTTGTTACATTTGGAATGAATAGGAAACTCTCTAATATATCTATAAGATCTGACTCTACTTGTTGTTATGTGCCATCAAGTTGCCTGTAACTCATAGCGACCCTGTGTACATTAGCTCTGAAGCCTGCCCTATCCTGAGCCAATATAATCATCTCCAATGATTCAGACCCAATCCCATTTCTCTCTGGTCATTGAGTCAATTCTTCTCATCCTGGGACTTCTCCTGCACTGTCTCTCTACCCTTCCAAGCATGATGTCCTTCTCCAGGGACTGGTTCCTCTTGAACATGTATTCAAAGTATAAGAGATGGAGCTTTAAATTCTTTGCCCCTGGGGACCAGTTTGGTTTCACTCTCTCCAAGATGAACCTGTTTGTTCTTTGGCAATCTATAGTATGTTCAATATTCTTCTCCAGCACCAAAACCCAAAGGCATCAATCCTTCTTCTATCATCCATATTTGTTGTCCAGTGCTCTGATGCATTGCAAGTAATTGCGAAGACACTATGGCCTAGATTTGGTGCACCTTAGTCTCTAGACTGATATCATTGCTCTTCAGTACTCTAGCAAGGTCCCTGACAGCAGATTTTCTCAATGCAACTCTTTTTTCCTGTCTGCTGGAGGAGCCAAGAGTGTTGACTGTGGAACCAAGCAAACTAAAGTTATCAACAATCTTAATCTCTTCTCTGTCTGTCATGAAGCTGCCAATTGGCCCAGTGGTAAGAATCTTTGTTTTTTTAATGTTGATCTTGAATCCACATTGAAGATTACAGTTCTTGACCTTCTGCAGCAAACACCTCAATATCTTCCTCGGTTTCAGCAAGCAAGCATAACACAGATTGTTGATGAGGTTTCCTCCATTCCTGATGCCACCTTCCTCCTCCCAAAGTCATCTTTTTTTTTTTCCAATTTCTCCTTGCTCTCTCTGCCTAAGAGGGAGCTCTAGTAGCCTAGTGGTTAGAATTTGAGCTGCAATCCCCAAAGTATGCGATATGAACCCCTCAGCTGCTCTGCTAGAGAAGAATGGGCAATCTCGTTCCATGAAATACACTGCCTCTGAAAACATGCTGGAGGGTCATCTAGGGTCAGTTCCAACTCTATGGCACACAACAAAAATCACTACCTAGGAAGCAAATTTCCTCTTATCCCAGGGCTTCTGCTCATGCTGCTTCCTCTGCTTAGAATACTTTTTTTCTTCCCCTTTTGTCTGGTTAATTTTTCTTCATCCTTTAGTTCTTGTGTTCATGAAACTTGGAGACTTCTGGTAGAGAAAAGCATAACTTCCTTATCCAAATAACACCTTTATTGTGCTGGATGTTACAACAGGGATGTTATAATAGAGGTGATTTGTTGTCATTTGCCATAATATTGGCCCATAATGACCTGTGATCCCATGAACCATGGGATGAAATCCTACCCTGTCCTGTGCCATCCCACAAGCTGACTTTTCAGAAGTAGCTCTCCAGGTCTTTATTTTGTGATCTCATTGGGTGGGTTCAAACTACCAACCATGAGATTATATTGTTGTTGCTGCTGTTAGGCTTTGTCACATTGAGGAGGACTCAGCAACCCTATGAACAGCATTCCTGAGCCCTGTTTTTTCCTGTGACATCCCTGACATAATAGAGCTCATGCTACTGTCTCTGTGTCAATCTGTCTCACCAAGGTTTATCCTCTCTTTCCAAGTATGTTGTTCCTTCCCAAGGAAAAGCCTCTCCTCGTAACATGTTCAAAGTATGTGAAATAAAGTCTTACCATTCTTGTCTATAAGGAGCATTCTAGTGGCTATTCATTCTCCAAGATATGTATGCTTGTTCTTTGGGCTATCTATATAATAGTACTCTCTTCCAACACACCTCAAAGGCATCAATTTTTCTTCTATCTTCCTTATTCACTGTGCCGCTCTTAGGTGCACAGCAGGTGACTGAAAAGATCACAGCTTGAATCAGGTGCACCTTGGTGTTTAAACTGATATTATGACTCTTCAGGACTTTGGAGAGGTCCCTGACAACAGACTGTCCCAATGCAATATATCACTGGATCTCCTGACTGCTGGTAGAAAGGGTGTTGATTACAGATCCAAGTAAATTGAAACTGTAGACAACATTAATCCTCTACTCCATCTATCTTGATTTTGCCTTTTGGTCCTTTTTGTCTTCCTGATGCTAAGATGCAATCAGATCTTCCTTGCTTTGAGCAATTAAGGTTGTGTTATCTGGATAATGCAGGTTGTGGATGAGCCTTTCTGCAATGTTGATGCCA